CTTATGTCAGTGACACTACTATCATGCTATATATTTCCTACTTATGTTAGTAACACTACCATTATACTATATATTTCCTACTTATGTAAGTAACACTACCATCATGCTATATATTTCCTACTTATGTCAGCAACACTACCATCATGCTATATAATTCCTTTATTTCCTACTTATGTAAGTAACACTACCATCATGCTATATATTTCCTACTTATGTCAGCAACACTACCATCATGCTATATATTTCCTACTTATGTCAGTAACACTACCATCATGCTATATATTTCCTACTTATGTCAGTAACACTACCATCATGCTATATATGTCCTACTTATGTCAGTAACACTACCATCATGCTATATATGTCCTACTTATGCCAGTAACACTACCATCATACTATATATTTCCTACTTATGTCAGTAACACTACCATCATGCTATATATTTCCTACTTATGTCAGTAACACTACCATCATGCTATATATGTCCTACTTATGTCAGTAACACTACCATCATGCTATATATGTCCTACTTATGCCAGTAACACTACCATCATGCTATATATTTCCTACTTATGTCAGCAACACTACCATCATGCTATATATTTCCTACTTATGTCAGTAACACTACCATCCCTTGAAACAGTCCTTCTCAAGACAAGAATCAATACCAGTACCACATGACATTCACAACAAATTGGTGCAAGGGAATAACCGGATATACCACAGACAGTGAAGGTGCAGAGGAACCGCAGGAGTTGATGAAATATTGGTGTGATTGTCCACGCATTTATTAGACCGTGTGGTGACTTGGCCTTTCATGGCATAGCTCAACCCTTCTTTGACTGAACATTGACAAACATTGTATGACACCTGAAGACAGGCTTCAGTGTTCGGCACACAGCCATCTATCACTGAGAAGATTATATACAACCATGGAGCCCTGATCTGAGTCGACCACTGGTCGAGTACAACTTTTAGAAACATTTCAGTTATATCACAGTGCACCAATGTCACGTGGGTTGAGTACCACTTTTAGAAACATTTCGTTATATCACAGTGCACCAATGTCATGTGGGAGGAATGTCCAAAGTGATACCAAAGTGAAACTCACAAGCATGTGTATGGTGCTAACAGACACTGAACCATAATCTGGGTGAAAGTGGGATTCAAATCCCCAACCAGCATATCCTGACATTGTTAAGGGACATAACTCTGCATACCATGTTTGTCACGGAGCATATTTTTTACATGAATTTTATGAATTAACTGTCCAATTTTGTCCCAAACACACAAAAACTTTAACATACGTTCCGATCCAATCTGGACAAAGAACTTAACAACTCTGACACAATGGTGATGTTAGTTTTTATTCAGCTCTATCCAGTTAGTATTCAGTAAGACATTTCCCAGGTATTGTGAAAATAAGCTGTCACAGGGTAACTGCTAATATTTACACTTGCATCTTTGACAAAAGTAGCAGAATGTTCATTTATGAATGGTCTTCCCAAGACAGCTCTTGCAAGACGCAGAGAAAAGATTAAAGAAATAATAAATATTAGGGAAATCCACAAGGAAGAGGAGTTCTTTAGAAGAAGCTGAAGTTTGCAACAACATACTTCCAGATTCAATCTTCACCAGTTATTGAATTTCCGCCCTTTCAGGGCATTACATGGCCGCTTCATGCTCACTTGATGTAGGCGTCCCAATAACAATACAAAACACTGATATGATTCTGTAAAAATACATATCAAACAAAACATCAAACTCCACCCTTTAGTTTTGCTTGAGGACTTCGGCACTGATATGCATGTTAAGTGTGGCATCTCTCCAAACTGCCATACACACTTGATGAAGAAAGAAGTGACGGTATAGTCTGTGACTCCTAAATGCTATTTTGAAAACACGGAGATAATGTACAATAACTTCATTTACTTCTCCGGCCAGACAATGCTTTTAGACAGTGTGAACATTGTCATTTTTTATGAAAAATGTTGCCTGGGTTAATCGTGTGGAAGAACCTTGCATCTGAAAGTTGTTAAAAAAACTGCCGCTAAAACAAAGGCCAGTAATGGACAATCCCTCTTGAACTGTTGTTTAAGATACTTTTATGACTGAAGGCTTCATAAAAATACTTCCAGCAGAGCTTAACACCAGTGACCTTAAACGTAATGGTGGCATCTGTCCATAAAGAAGCAATTATTCGTTCTCTGCTTCACAGTTTTGAAGACAATTTGGCAAATAATGCAAACAGATCATGAAACTAAAATATAACGCAATGTTGCCTTCTAAAACGTACAGTAATTGTTGATAACGCAATGTTGCCTTCTAAAACGTACAGTAATTATTGATGTGATTATCCCATGACAGTCTGAGTGGACCATCACACGTGAACAGTTTCATCTCTACGGACATACACGGTTCTTTTACTCTGCACCAGGAACCTCCCGAGTCTTGTGGAGGTGTTTTGATTGTATTAAGACATCGCTATGTGTTTGTGCGGTTACGAAACCCAGTGTGGCAGCCATTTGGATATTGCACGGGCAATGGAGTCTGATCTATGTGACAGGATTACTAACAGATCAATCTAAATTGGGGAGGACTAAGTCCCGTGAATATGAATTTGGGGACTACGTTCCTCCTGATAGCCTCATTCCAAAGATGTGGACTAGAAAGATGATAGCAGCATGGATGCATTGGACGTTTGATGGGTACGTTTTCAATATATAATACCATATTCAGGTCGCTTGTCACACCGAAGACCCAGGTTCGATTCCCGACATGGGTACAATGTGTGAAGCCCATTTGTGGTGTCCCCCGCCATGATTTTGCTGGAATATTGCTAAAAGCGTTGTAAAAACTCACTCACTATATTCAGGTAATCAATAACTTACTAACAATACATATTATGCTAAAATAACTTATACTAAAGAGTAGCAAAGTCCCAACAACTGAAAATCAGTACTTTCAATCAGCAAATTCCAAAATCTTTTCATTCTAGAATACAATTTATGACAAATACAAAATATTGAAATAAACAGTTACTGTATTCACAGCTCAGAAGCATATAACAAACAACACATTTTGTCAGGCCCTGATGAACATGCAAAGAAATGAAGACACCCAAAGTGATTTACTTGTGGATGGAGAGCCCCTTCAAATGCAAGTCAGCAGAAAGTTGCTACTTCTGAAACTGTACTTTGCCAGTATTGACCCAAAGCTGCTACATATGTATCGGAGCGTATTGCTGGCTCTGGGTGCAATAATCGGATTAGCCTACAACCATAATGAGATTTTGACGACCAGTCTGGGCTCCCAATGAGCACTATGGCTTTCTTCAGTAGCTTGAAACGATCGGGTGCCTAGATTGCGCCTCTGCATTGTGGCGACACACTGGCATTGGTTTTAGGTACGTAATCTCCCATGATAATTACAATCTGTTTCTTTGTAAGATATTTACAAGTCTTTTTGATCACCAGCTATGTGACTAGACTAGATGTGCTGAGTGCTTGTATGGTGTCTGAAATATTACAGCTATATGTAATGTGTAATGGAGCCTTGACAAGACAAACCAATGTCCGATAGTGTGATGACTTAATGTGTAATTGAGCCTGGTCAGGACATACCAATGGTCGATAGTGTGATGACTTAATGTGTATAATTGAGCCTGGTGAGGACATACCAATGGTCGATAGTGTGATGACTTAATGTGTATAATTGAGCCTGGTCAAGACATACCAATGGTCGATAGTGTGATGACTTAATGTGTAATTGAGCCTGGTCAGGACATACCAATGGTCGATAGTGTGATGACTTAATGTGTAATTGAGCCTGGACATGACAAACCAATGGTCGATAGTGTGATGACGTAATGTGTATAATTGAGCCTGGTCAGGACAAACCAATGGTCGATAGTGTGATGACTGAATGTGTATAATTGAGCCTGGTCAAGACAAACCAATGGTCGATAGTGTGATGACTGAATGTGTATAATGGAGCCTGGTCAAGACAAACCAATGGTCGATAGTGTGATGACTTAATGTGTATAATTGAGCCTGGTCAAGACAAACCAATGGTCGATAGTGTGATGACTTAATGTGTATAATTGAGCCTGGTCAAGACAAACCAATGGTCGATAGTGTGATGATTTAATGTGTAATTGAGCCTGGTCAAGACATACCAATGGTCGATAGTGTGATGACTTAATGTGTAATTGAGCCTGGTCAGGACAAACCAATTGTCGATAGTGTGATGACTTAATGTGTATAATTGAGCCTGGTCAAGACAAACCAATGGTCGATAGTGTGATGACTGAATGTGTATAATGGAGCCTGGTCAAGACAAACCAATGGTCGATAGTGTGATGACTTAATGTGTATAATTGAGCCTGGTCAAGACAAACCAATGGTCGATAGTGTGATGACTTAATGTATAATTGAGCCTGGTCAAGACAAACCAATGGTCGATAGTGTGATGATTTAATGTGTAATTGAGCCTGGTCAAGACATACCAATGGTCGATAGTGTGATGACTTAATGTGTAATTGAGCCTGGTCAGGACAAACCAATTGTCGATAGTGTGATGACTTAATGTGTATAATTGAGCCTGGTCAAGACAAACCAATGGTCGATAGTGTGATGACTGAATGTGTATAATGGAGCCTGGTCAAGACAAACCAATGGTCGATAGTGTGATGACTTAATGTGTTTTTTATAATTGAGCCTGGTCAAGACAAACCAATGGTCGATAGTGTGATGACTTAATGTGTAATTGAGCCTGGTCAAGACAAACCAATGGTCGATAGTGTGATGACTTAATGTGTATAATTGAGCCTGGTCAAGACAAACCAATGGTCGATAGTGTGATGACTTAATGTGTATAATTGAGCCTGGTCAAGACAAACCAATGGTCGATAGTGTGATGACTCAATGTGTATAATTGAGCCTGGTCAAGACAAACCAATGGTCGATAGTGTGATGACTTATCCACATTATGCTACATACCTCCCTCTGGTGTGAAGAAGTCGATGGTCTGCGAAGGTGGACCCGTGTAATGGGTGTTCATCACAGCAACCTGAGCTCGCAAAGCAGTGTATGCTGGGATATCTGCCAGAGCAACTCGCACATCGGGTCCATGATCTCTGGCCGACATCATCACATCCACTTCCTTCATCTTGTGCCGACCTTCACTTGACTTCCAGTAGCGTAGCTAGGCAACCAGAAAATACACTTACCAAATTCAAAGAATAATAAGGGTCAAGTTCTGATACACAGCTAAACCCTTCCTCAAAAAGAGGCAGCATATTATTAATGAAAAACAAGCAACAATAATAATCAAAAACCTCAATGCTAAGGAGTAATGATATTGGAATCCCTGTAACAAATAAAATGATCAGCCCAATCAATAGTGATTATATATCTCTGTCATAGGGACAAGGGTGGTCGGGTAGCCTCGTGGTTAAAGCGGTTGCTGGGCACGCCGAAGACCCGGGTTCTATTGTACATGGGTACAATGAGTGAAGCTCATTTCTTGTGTCCCCAGTTGTGACATTGCTGGAATATTGCTAAAAGCTGCGTTAACAATACTCACTCACTACAAGGGACAAGGGAAGACCCAGCTTCTATAGTACATAGGTACAATGTGTGAAGCTCATTTCTGGTGTCCCCTCGTTGTGACATTGCTGGAATATTGCTAAAAGCGGCGTTAACAATACTCACTCACTACAAGGGACAACTTCTACTGACATCTTTGATCACTGACAAATCTTTGATCACTGACAAATCAATCAAAGTCTGTGTTCGATATACAAAGCGAGAACACTTAACAAAGCTTATGCCATGGAGGATGTGAGTGTGTCCTGCAAATCCACTTCATTCCTCGACCACCGTTTCCATTATCAGGATGTTTTGTCACCAACTCCATTTTACCAAATTCACCTACCTCCGGATCGATATCACCATGGCCGTTTTGTTATTCAGGGTTCTGAAATTAGCTGGAGAGAGCTGCCGGTTTGGGGTATAAAAACATTGTTTTAACACTGGAATGGAAAGAAAATATCTGTGGAATGCTTGCAGCATCCCGTCACAATTAGCCTACCTTGTATCCACGAAAGTGACCCTGAATCTTTTGCTCCGCTGTATCAACAGCCTCCCAGATGAAGTGCACTGTGTGGGCTCCCACGGGATGAGTCGGATCCAGGCGGAAATCCTTTGGGGACACGGTGGGCTCTGACAAAACAAAATTAGATGTGTAAGTGCTTAGCCCTGTATTACCATATTGATAGAGGTAATCTGCAACAGAGGCTAGAGATCGAGAAAAGTCGGAACTCAATCCTGATGAAATATGTGATACCATATAACCTGGTCTAGCATTGTATAGGGAACAGTTGTGCTGTGCTGTGCTGTGCTGTGCTGTGCTGTGCTGTGCTGTGCTGTGCTGTGCTGTTTATACTCCATAATTTAGGATTTAAGGAGGCAGGACTTAGAATGTTGTTGTTTGTTGTCAATGCCGCTCAGCAAATATGGCAGATTTATCAAAGTGGCACGTAAACAATGGAGTCTGGACAAACCAGTGATTGATATTATGAGCAAGCGTCCAATGCAGTCAGGGTACGCTGACAAGTCACCAATGAACCAAGTCACCTAGCCTGACCTCCCGACCTCCTGACCTCTGACCCATAATGAGCCTCTTACTACAAGATCTAATCCAGAATCCCCAGAATTCTCACGTTGGATCTGAACCCTCAAACCCCAATCAACCCTTCACCCACCACCGATCCATCTTTCTTCCACCCTGACCCACCCTTCACCCACCACAAATCCATCTTTCTTCCACCCTGACCCACCCTTCACCCACCACCGATCCATCTTTCTTCCACCCTGACCCACCCTTCACCCACCACCGATCCATCTTTCTTCCACCCTGATCCACCCTTCACCCACCACCGATCCATCTTTCTTCCACCCTGATCCACCACCGATCCATCTTTCTTCCACCCTGATCCACCCTTCACCCACCACCGATCCATCTTTCTTCCACCCTGATCCACCCTTCACCCACCACCGATCCATCTTTCTTCCACCCTGATCCACCACCGATCCATCTTTCTTCCACCCTGACCCACCCTTCACCCACCACCGATCCATCTTTCTTCCACCCTGATCCACCCTTCACCCACCACCGATCCATCTTTCTTCCACCCTGATCCACCACCGATCCATCTTTCTTCCACCCTGATCCACCCTTCACCGATCCATCTTTCTTCCACCCTCATCCACCACCTATCCATCTTTCTTCCACCCTCATCCACCACCGATCCATCTTTCTTCCACCCTGATCCATCCTTCACCCACCACCAATCCATCTTTCTTCCACCCTGACCCACCCTCATCCACCACTGATCCATCTTTCTTCCACCCTCATCCATCCTGATCCACCCTTTATCATCCTGATCCACCCTTTATCCACCCTGATCCTTTCTGATCCACCCTTTATCCACCCTGATCCATCCTTTATCCACCCTGATCCACACTTTATCCATCCTGATCCACCCTTTATCCATCCTGATCCTTTCTGATCCACCCTGATCCATCCTGATCCACCCTTTATCCACCCTTTATCCATCTTCCCAAGGCAAGGGAGTAAACTGACTGTGAAAGTCCAGTTTTCACGCTTGCCGAATTAGGCTGGAATTCTGGAGTTATATAGCTACTAACAAGACTATGCATCGAACTAGACCTCCCGTTCATTAAAAAACATGGATTTCAACGTTTAGATTATAATTGAATGCAGGATTTGTGTCAACAAAGTGTCAACAAGTATTTTCCAAATCTTACCATGTTTTCAATCAATGTGCTCAAACATTGTGAAGTAAGAATCGTTTTATTACAATATAGATCTTGATTATCAATTAGATCATCTTGATTGTGTGCTGCCATTTTGTTGTGAGATGGAATCTGATTGGTCAATGTGAGGGACATTGAAGTGACATAACTCGTAATAGTCACTGGTGGTGCTAGGATCAAGCCACAAAGTTCCAGTTTAGTTTAGGAAAGGTGGGAACTGGACTTTTCACTCAGGAAGATGTCCTTTGACCACCCTGATCCACCCTTCTTCAACCCAAATCTACCTCTGTAGACTTCATTGCCATATACCCCATGACCAGGACCTTATCCAATAGAAGAGTCGGAACCTACAGACTTCCGTATGATAATGTTGTACCTCAGTTGAGCTGTACCTTCAACAGTAAATAATGCCACAACAGCAATCTAACCAATACACAACAGAAGAGTCGGAACCTATCAAAGTGGCACGTAAACAATGGAGTCTGGACAAACCAGTGATTGATATTATGAGCAAGCGTCCAATGCAGTCAGGGTACGCTGACAAGTCACCAATGAACCAAGTCACCTAGCCTGACCTCCCGACCTCTGACCCATAATGAGCCTCTTACTACAAGATCTAATCAAGAATCCCCAGAATTCTCACGTTGGATCTGAACCCTCAAACCCCAATCAACCCTTCACCCACCACCGATCCATCTTTCTTCCACCCTGACCCACCCTTCACCCACCACCGATCCATCTTTCTTCCACCCTGACCCACCCTTCACCCACCACCGATCCATCTTTCTTCCACCCTGATCCACCACCGATCCATCTTTCTTCCACCCTGATCCACCACCGATCCATCTTTCTTCCACCCTGATCCACCCTTCACCCACCACCGATCCATCTTTCTTCCACCCTGATCCACCACCGATCCATCTTTCTTCCACCCTGACCCACCCTTCACCCACCACCGATCCATCTTTCTTCCACCCTGATCCACCCTTCACCCACCCACAACAGAAGAGTCGGAACCTACAGACTTCCATATGATAATGTTGTACCTCAGTTGAGCTGCACCTTCAACAGTAAATAATGCCACAACAGCAATCTAACCAATACACAACAGAAGAGTCGGAACCAACATATGATAATGTTGTACCTCAGTTGAGCTGCACCTTCAACAGTAAATAATGCCCCAGCTGCAGTCTAACCAATACACAACAGAAGAGTCGGAACCTACATATGATAATGTTGTACCTCAGTTGAGCTGCACCTTCAACAGTAAATAATGCCACAGCTGCAATCTAACCAATACTCTAAACACGGACCCCTTCTACAATTCAGTATCTGTTCCATTGATTTTCTCCTCATTGGATTACCCGGAGAATGAAGCTGCCGGTTCAAGATGTGCCCAGTGGTCACAGTGTCACACCATCGGCAGAACAATCCCAACTTGGGTGCTTCAGAAACTGATGGTCACAGTCCGTGCCTGGAGAACAATGCACACTATTCCTAATGCCTGAGACAGCTCTGTTGTATTGTTCCTGATACCATTACATTCTATTGTGATTCTAATTAACTAATCCCTGCAGGGGTGGCCGAGATAGGTGCCGAGGCCTCATAGGCACTGGCAAGTCAGAAGGCATCACTGGCAGTAACTCCCAACAATCCCAGGCCAATTCCTGGAGTCCTCGGAGAGATAAATCAAGGAGGATTTACATTATTTGAACACAAGGCTGTCATGATTTACAGCATTTCAAATTCACAAAGATTGTCCACAAAACGTCAGATTGTTAATTAGCAATTGTGTAAAGAATGGATTGTAAAATCACACTTAATCACATTCAATGTTGACTTTTGAGTCATTAAAAGCTGAACAATTGTCTCGTGTCTTAAGCGAGACTGTCGCCTCTGTCCTCCAGGATGAATATCAAGTTTCAAATGGAGACATTGGCTAACTCATAGATGACTGAATGCATTTTTCCCACTGTCATTACACCAACTCAGATATTCCCAAGCCCAATCATTCAACTTTAAACTGTCAAAAAAGTGTCGTGTCAGAATAGAATAATTCATTTAGAGTGAAAAAAATGTATCCTTAAATTATTGAAGGTCATGCTGTCTTTACACGTAAAGTCGTGATTCAGTGAACAGCCAACTACGGAGAATGGCTGTGTCTGGCTAATGGGTAATTGGGTATACCCCGTTACAACAATGTTACACATGCAGTTTACCAGACACATATCCACCATGTTTGTATGATGCTGTTACCATAGCAATACGCAGCAGCATTACCATTAGAAAAACAAGGCCATAACCTCAAAATAAGCAGAAAAAACAACTTTGTTTGCATTTGTATGGTTTAATATAATTAAAACTCAAAATTTAATACCAAAATAATTTATAAATATTGAAAATTGGACATTAATTTGGAAGCTACTCAAAAATAGAAGTTCCATAACGGCGTGTGACAACGTCATCAGTAGTATTTTTTACTAACTTTGGTAACAAAAGCATTTATTTCAAGCCATTGTGTGGGTGGCAAGTCCCCCAAACTCCTGTTAGTTTAGTGAGGCAGCAAAAAATGAGATCTCATCAACTGAGTAACCATTACTAAGGGGTGAGCTTGTTCACATCTCTTACCAAAACAGGGGGAAGGTGTCCGGTAAAATGCATTCTTGCCACAACAATAGATCACCTGTAGACTGTTCATTTATCATGCAAAGAGTGAGTGCATGTTGTTTTATGCCACAGTCAGCAATATTCCAGCTATATCATGGCAGCCTGCAAACAATCCAGTCTGGTTGACATCCTGAGCTTCCATCGACACCATCAGGGCGTGCTGACACACAATCAGCCATCAGGGCGTGCTGACACACAATCAGCCATCAGGGCGTGCTGACACACAATCAGCCATCAGGGCACCATCAGGGCGTGCTGACACACAATCAGCCATCAGGGCACCATCAGGGCGTGCTGACACACAATCAGCCATCAGGGCGTGCTGACACACAATCAGCCATCAGGGCACCATCAGGGCGTGCTGACACACAATCAGCCATCAGGGCGTGCTGACACACAATCAGCCATCAGGGCACCATCAGGGCGTGCTGACACACAATCAGCCATCACACACTGCAACCTTCTGACCCTCTTAAAACAATTTGTGTTGTAATAACACTGTAAATCACAACTCAGGTATCAGTTCATGAAATAGTGGGGGCATGGTTGGCCCATTCGGCTAAAGTGCCTTTCTCACTGTGCAGAGTTGCGTCCCCTAGTTGCGCCAGAATCTGATGATTGTGTGTTGTGATATCACAGCTGAATGTACTGGGCACATCCTTATAATCCTTATATATCATGGTGTTCATTAGCTGCTTTTATCGCCATCCAAACTTTACATATAACACGCCAAAGTTGTCTTACTGTTATACAGAAAGAAACAAAAAAAATTCTTGTTGCAATTTTTTTTGCAAATTAATTCCGAAAAATAAGGAGATTTTACCTGTATTTGAACAAATAAAGCTGTATATGATTCCCACAGTTTCATCCTTGAATCACCATGTCGATGACAAAGAAACACTTAAAACACTAAAAACACTCCAATGTTTCGAATTAACTCAGATAGAATGGTGGCAAAAAGGTATCAAGCAGGATATTGAATGGGAGAAAAGAGAAACATCTTGCTGACAGCTTCAAGAAGATGTCAAAATTTACACAAGCTTTCGCTTGACTGTCAAATAAAGCAGAAGGTGGATGTTAGCCAGGCGTGCACTTCTTCAAAGTTCATTATACGTTGGCACAATCAATAAATACAAGCACCGATTCACTGACCTATCTCCAACTTGTATCAGAAGTGTCTGTATATGTGAGCCTAGTGGCTTTTTCAGGCTATCATCTACGCAAGTCAGTATTCAAATTTCAAATTGTGGAGAAAAAATAATTTCCAGGATATCTAGCAAGGCACAAAGGAAATTATTCATCTTCTGATTTCCTGTTTCGTTTCAAAAAAAGCTTTCAAAGTATCATAAACTTGACTTTTTTTTTACATAAAATCCATTTTTTTGCATATCAATGGTAATAGGATGAGCTATATTCATTATGAAATGAGCGTGATAGACTGGGAACTAGTTCTGCTTTCAATATGTGATTCGATTCTTACATCCGTCCACAGATCTGTTCTTCATGTCGTGTCAGAAGTGTTAACATGGTTTTTAATTTAATATTTCTTCTGACTTCTTGCACATCTTTCAGCAGTTTTATATTTCTTCTTGTGAATCTGACTTGAACATTTGTCATCAAGTAGAACTTCCATTATCAAACAAATCATCGTCTTTATTCTTATTTATTTATTCTGAATCAGGCCCAAATTATGTATATTCAAATAAACAGTAACGAGATACAATAGTATTTTCTTGAAAATTTCAAACTACATTCAGGAACTAATTTATATGCCTGACAAAATTCTTTGAAGATGGAAAGTATCCAGAAAGTGGTGATGGTCTTTCGAACACATCGCTCTAGCCTGGTTCAGTAAGTTTGTGACAGATTCATTGCCTATTGAGTAGTGTCGTTTTAGTTTAACAAGAATACACGGACAATAATTCCCATGAACAAAATCAATTGGCAGTTCACATAACAAGCATCCAATCGGGTTACACATCTGTAGCTACATATTTCTCAAGGTCAGTTCTTTGGGTTAAAAAATGGGTCTAGTTTCTGTTGTTGGAAGAAGTTGAGGCTTACAAACAGCTGAGTTTACCTACAGACAGCTCCGTCTCAGGAGACAAAGTTTCTTATGAAAGTGTCTTCAATCATTCATGGTAACTGTAAGATTGGTTCCAACAACTGATTCTGGCTTAACACGTTGAGGTTAGCTGGTGAAATTTTATTGATTCTGAAACAGTTTATCCATCAAATATTAATACCCTGAGAGCAGAAAATGTACTGTTGAAATAAAAGTTGCATCAGTTTACATCCAGCTGAAACTTGACACTGTCTCAGGGGAGATAACTAACAACTAAAGGGAGATAATTCTAAAATGTGTTAATGTATCATATTTCTGTCTGACAGCTGTGGAAACATTAACTGCAAAATTGGAAATATCTACATAATAATGGTTTTTTTATGTGTGCCTTAATCTATTTACCACAATTCAAACTGCATACTGCCTTTTCTTTCAAGCCTATATTCCCTGAGTGCAGTCTTAATAGGAAGATAGCTTGCTCAAGTCACGATATGGCTGAAATAGTGCCGATGTGACTTTAAATATTAACTCACTCACTCAGTAATAGGAAGATAGGATGGTTGGTTCATAAATAAATGCTCATGTGTCTTGATTTAAAAAACAAAACAAATGTAAATGTTTAAAGAAATACAGTGATATCTGGACATAGGGTATAGCCTTCCACATCATCGAGTCGGAAATCAATGAATTCTGCATGGCATTAGTGAAACAGTTGTAGTTTTTAACAGTAGCTTGAAACAGGAAGGGAGGTTGCTCTTTGACCTACCATTCAAACAATCAATCCAATATCTTTCATCATATATTTAAAATTTCACACTACCTGACCATAATTCACAAAATCAATCTTTACATGAACCACACTACAGTATTTGTATCTCAGTGTTATAGGTTTTCTGACATTTAATAACTTTCATAGTTTTCTCTCTGATCACATGAACTACTGTAAAACATCTCATTCACTTTTAAAGACAGCTTTCTCTTAAAAAAAAGCCATCCTCTGAGTGTTTACAATGTTTGTGTGATGCTAGAGTCCCCTTTTACACGAGTAGTAGCAATCAACATGGCCGTCCAATTACGTACGATGTTTAAAAATCTATGTTCCGACGACATGCCTAAATCATAAGGCTACAATATTGTATACTATGGTTTACAGAAAGTTGCTAAACATTAAGCTTAAGTTGGTTGAAATTAAAACACATCTAGTAAGGGTTAGGAATTCAGATTTCAGGGTTTAGGGTTTAGGGTTTAGGGTTAGATAGTTAGCGAGGTAGGGGGTAGTGTTTAGGGTCAGGTTGATTTTATGAGAGAAAATATTTGCTTTTACTGTTAAAAGTGCAGGATGTTTAGTTTGTTTGTTTGCTGTTTAACGCCGCACACAGCAATATTCCAGTTTTATGACGGTGGTCTGTAAATTATCGAGTTTGGACCAGACAATCCAGTGATTGACATCATGAGCATCGATCCACTCAATTGGGATACAATGACATGCATCAACCAAGTCAGTGAGCCTGAAAACCCGATCCTGTCAGTCGCTTCTTACCACAAACATAGTCGCCTTTTACGGCAAGCATGGGTTGCTGAAGACCTATTCTACCCCGGATCCTCACGGGTCCACCTTTTACGGCAAGCATGGGTTGCTGAAGACCTATTCTACCCGGGATCTTCATGGGTCCACCTTTTACGGCAAGCATGGGTTGCTGAAGACCTATTCTACCCCGGATCCTCACGGGTCCACCTTTTACGGCAAGCATGGGTTGCTGAAGACCTACTCTACCCCGGATCTTCATGGGTTGGATGTTGTAATGGTGGATTTTCAGCCTAATCAAATAACCTGAAAAAATTATAAAAAAAGAGGCCAAATATAGACATCATATATGTATTCTGCTTGTAGTTTATCCAAGAGGGTTACATCTTGACCACTGCCCAGATGACATTAGTTCTTACCGTCCTCTCCCGAGTGTCCCTTGTAGATGAATGCTGTCTGATGTGACTCTCCAAGGTCATTTTCCGACTTCACAGATATTTGGTAGGTTTGATATACATCATTGACTTCCACCTCGTAATAGTTGACAGTAGGGTCTGTGATGAGTCCATCTGACCAATACGTCTTCCCCTGCTGGCGGTAGTACACGTGGTAGCGGAAGCCAGGGCCGTTGTGGTAGAGGCGGGCAATCACCTGAAATAAACAGGGAGACCGTTAGTCTTCTCCGATCTTGGCCAGCCAGAATGTTAGTATGAGCAAGTTTTAACGTCATCACACTGCACACTATCCAGCAGGACAAACATGGCAAACCCAGGGTTGACATACTGCATAGGTAGGTGCTTATTATCTTTTAGTGGGGCAGACCTGTAGCTTAGTGGTTACAGTGGTCACTTATCACAACAAAGGTCTGGGTTCGATTTCTCACATGGTTATTCTGGGTGAAGCCCACTTCTGGAGTCCTCCCACCCTCTCTGCCAGACAGGATATGACTATACTGCTTAAAGCCATGTAAAAACCACACACACCATCATATTTAGTTCCAGTTCTAAATATCTAAATATCTTGGTGATCTTCTGCCTGAGTTACAAAGACAATCAGAGAAGAATGGGGAAGCCAGAAGTGATGCAGGTACTAGACATGGACCACCCTGGTGAAACCCAAGGGCCTGCTACAACACAATACACGAACCTTCATCCATTACAACTTTTCTATCATGTATAACGTGTCACTGCTTCTTTCCACAGCCTCCAATGAATATGCCCTGAAACCTGTTGTCAGAATTTGAAGACATAGTGTTGCCGTGACACCAGAAAATACCCTTCTTTTACTCCCTCCACAGGAAGGATGATTCAGAGAACATGCATATACAATCTAGCAATAACATCCCAAAGAATTGGACAATCCATTTTCAGAGTTCAACATTCGAATAAACCCATCTTCAGGCTGTTTATATTTCCGGTGATGAATGAGGACCAAGTAATGGACATAATGACACAATAAAGTTTCACATTTTGCCAACACCTTGCCAACAACTGAACCATTTTGAAGAGATGACCTAAGAAATGACAAATTGCACCACAACACAACCAGAATCCAGTTATCATGACACTAGTAGCTTTCGAGTTGACAACAAGCAGCTGTTTTCAACTTTCGATTGGCTACGATGAAACTCATTCCAAATTTCATTTGTCGGGAAATACATCTCCACCTGTCTCCAGGGAAAAAGTGATGAGGTCCTCTCCTATTACAGTTGGTAAAAGACGGAGGAGAGAGACACTGTGATCTATCAAGTGTCTTGTTATAGCACCAAGCTACAGGGTAGGGGACAAGCACGTAATTGCTATAGGTCTATTTATCATGACCACTGCGTTTACTTACAATGTGCCTGTGACAGACAGATTAACCCTTCATGTTCTTGAAACCTCCAAGACTGGGCACTGCCAGAGTAATTCCAAGTGTATTCACCTAACGACAGCCTGAGTTAGGTCACCTGGTCACTTCAATCCACAGGAATAAACCAAAATGGCACATTCACCTAGAGACAAGGGGTTTTACTAGCCCAGTGCTCTAAGGTATAGTGAACGTAAAAGGTCAATGTCAGAGCATAATATCTGACACAACACTTTTCATGGTTCATAAAAAGCAAAATACAGCAGATGTAGCAGCAAAAATTATACATGTGGATCACTGCAAATCAGTGATGACACCAGGTGTTCATGAAAAGGGTATGCCTGTCCTGCTCTACCGGAAGCATCCACCATTCACACAATTAACATAAAAAAGTATGTGTTTGTTGCCTGACATCGCACAGCAGTACTTCTGCCATGTCATGGCAGCATGTAAACAAACCAGACAATCAAGTGATGGAAGACCAGCATCCAGAGAGATTGAAACATGGAATCGGGAGAGATTGAAGACACGATAACAGAGAGAAGGAAGACTGGCACAGATATGGATGACCTGAATCCGGAAAGAAGGAAGACAGAATCTGGAGAGATTGAAGACACGATAACGGAGAGAAGGAAGACTGGCACAGATATGGATGACCTGAATCCAGAAAGAAGGAAGACAGAATCTGGAGAGATTGAAGATCAGAATCAAGAGAGAAGGAAGACTGGCACAGATATGGATGACCTGAATCCGGAAAGAAGGAAGACAGAATCTGGAGAGATTGAAGACACGATAACGGAGAGAAGGAAGACTGGCACAGATATGGATGACCTGAATCCGGAAAGAAGGAAGACAGAATCGGGAGAGATTGAAGATCAGAATCAAGAGAGAAGGAAGACTGGCACAGATATGGATGACCTGAATCCGGAAAGAAGGAAGACAGAATCTGGAGAGATTGAAGACACGATAACGGAGAGAAGGAAGACTGGCACAGATATGGATGACCTGAATCCGGAAAGAAGGAAGACAGAATCTGGAGAGATTGAAGACACGATAACGGAGAGAAGGAAGACTGGCACAGATATGGATGACCTGAATCCGGAAAGAAGGAAGACAGAATCTGGAGAGATTGAAGACACGATAACGGAGAGAAGGAAGACTGGCACAGATATGGATGACCTGAATCCGGAAAGAAGGAAGACAGAATCGGGAGAGATTGAAGATCAGAATCAAGAAAGAAGGAAGACTGGCACAGATATGGATGACCTGAATCCGGAAAGAAGGAAGACAGAATCTGGAGAGATTGAAGACACGATAACGGAGAGAAGGAAGACTGGCACAGATATGGATGACCTGAATCCGGAAAGAAGGAAGACAGAATCGGGAGAGATTGAAGACACGATAACGGAGAGAAGGAAGACTGGCACAGATATGGATGACCTGAATCCGGAAAGAAGGAAGACAGAATCTGGAGAGATTGATGACACGATAACGGAGAGAAGGAAGACTGGCACAGATATGGATGACCTGAATCCAGAAAGAAGGAAGACAGAATCTGGAGAGATTGAAGATCAGAATCAAGAGAGAAGGAAGACTGGCACAGATATGGATGACCTGAATCCGGAAAGAAGGAAGACAGAATCTGGAGAGATTGAAGACACGATAACGGAGAGAAGGAAGACTGGCACAGATATGGATGACCTGAATCCGGAAAGAAGGAAGACAGAATCGGGAGAGATTGAAGACACGATAACGGAGAGAAGGAAGACTGGCACAGATATGGATGACCTGAATCAGGAAAGAAGGAAGACAGAATCTGGAGAGATTGAAGACACGATAACGGAGAGAAGGAAGACTGGCACAGATATGGATGACCTGAATCCGGAAAGAAGGAAGACAGAATCTGGAGAGATTGAAGACACGATAACGGAGAGAAGGAAGACTGGCACAGATATGGATGACCTGAATCCGGAAAGAAGGAAGACAGAATCTGGAGAGATTGAAGACACGATAACGGAGAGAAGGAAGACTGGCACAGATATGGATGACCTGAATCCGGAAAGAAGGAAGACAGAATCTGGAGAGATTGAAGACACGATAACGGAGAGAAGGAAGACTGGCACAGATATGGATGACCTGAATCCGGAAAGAAGGAAGACAGAATCTGGAGAGATTGAAGACACGATAACGGAGAGAAGGAAGACTGGCACAGATATGGATGACCTGAATCCGGAAAGAAGGAAGACAGAATCGGGAGAGATTGAAGACACGATAACGGAGAGAAGGAAGACTGGCACAGATATGGATGACCTGAATCCGGAAAGAAGGAAGACAGAATCTGGAGAGATTGAAGACACGATAACGGAGAGAAGGAAGACTGGCACAGATATGGATGACCTGAATCAGGAAAGAAGGAAGACAGAATCTGGAGAGATGGAAGACACGATAACGGAGAGAAGGAAGACTGGCACAGATATGGATGACCTGAATCCGGAAAGAAGGAAGACAGAATCTGGAGAGATTGAAGACACGATAACGGAGAGAAGGAAGACTGGCACAGATATGGATGACCTGAATCCGGAAAGAAGGAAGACAGAATCTGGAGAGATTGAAGACACGATAACGGAGAGAAGGAAGACTGGCACAGATATGGAAGACCTGAATCCGGAAAGAAGGAAGACAGAATCTGGAGAGATTGAAGATCAGAATCAAGACAGAAGGAAGACTGGCACAGATATGGATGACCTGAATCCGGAAAGAAGGAAGACAGAATCTGGAGAGATTGAAGATCAGAATCAAGAGAGAAGGAAGACTGACATCCGGAGAGAAGGAAGTTCAAACTTGACAGATTTTACTTGATGATTAATTATCGTAGAAAACTCAATATTGAAAGAGGTCTGTGTTGGTGAATGTCTGGTTTAACAAATTCCACTGATAGTTTTTACATAAAAAGGGAAAGTCTGACACATAACTGCTGCTGATACATACAAGCTTGGAATGGAAACCAATGAGGACAGTCTATGCATGAAGCCAGAAACCAATCATACAGTTCTTGTGATGGCAAATCTTCTCCTCATTCACCACAAAAATTTGACTTTAGCAGTTGTGCTCGTGCATAATGGCAGCACACCATCTCATAGACACCTAGCATTTTTACACGATCGATTTTCAGCTAATGGAAGACAAGGTCAATGTAATTAGACCAATAAAATCCCTCCTAGGTCTATATGACCTTCTTAAAGCACAAGAATATCACATCCCAATCCTTAATGCTTTCGTTTGACACTGACGACTACACAATAAATACGCCAGAATTGCTACAACAACATTTTTATCCCCATTATGTAGACACTGTCACAAAGAAGACAGGCAATCCACATTCTGTGTATCAAGAATTATTAAGGCAAGGCAATAATTTACCACAGACATGCCCTGTGCACATATTCTGCTGCCCTATGCTATTAGTATGATAATTGAGTAAAACACAATCTTGTGATATAATATGGTCCATGAACTGTGGTCCCTGGAAGCCTTGGACGAGGCATCAAGAAGAGTTGGTATTTGATGGCATTAAACATGCTTCCCTCTCATCAGGAATCAGTCAGATTGCTACTACCAAGCCTATATGGTAAACACTTGTGATTCAGGAATATCACAGGACCAATTGCTTCAGATTTGTTGTTATGAGGTGACACAAACGAGAAAGCTATGAAATGATAGAAAGCGTTACTTTTAATGCCTGTGTGCTGCAGAGGGAGATCTCTTGATACGGTTGTAGAAGAGGAGTTTAGTGTTTAGAAGGG